ACCACTCCAAGCAGCCAGCATGGCAGGAAAAGCCGGCGCCGCTTCAAACCGCGGTGCCGCTTGAAAGTGTGGCACTGCTTCCAGCCCCGGCGCCGCTTCAAGCCTCTGCGGCGCCGAAAGCTACAGCACGGCTTAAAGCTGCGGTGCCGATTAAAGTCACGGCACTGCAGCAAAAGGATGGGCAGCCTCTGAAGCCACTGGCACCAGCTGATGCTCCGCTGGTCCTCCTGCACCCAGACAAGCAGCCAGATGAGGCTGCTAGGGATCAGCCCCAACAAGAGACAGATCCACACAGCAGACATCACTATTCGTGCCTGCCCTCTACTTCTTACTCTCCTGGGAGGTCTCCATCAAGGCAATCCCCTCCCAGGTCGATATCACCGTTATCTCTTCAGGACGCTCCCCTTCCTGATGATGACCGCCACACGGTCTATTCCTCGCGACATCCATCACCTGGGAAGGCTCGCTCCCACCATTATAGGGCTCCACCACAACATAGCCCATGGCACCCATACTGGCCTTACCCACCTCCACCTTATCCACCACAATGGGGACTGTGGGAACACTGGGAGCCATCTGGACACCGCTCCCCACCTCACTCCACTGCACCCGGAGAAGCTTGCCTCGGCCACAGCCCCTACCTCCAGCAAGTCTTTTGGAGGGCGAGGCGGAACGAATCTCAGACAATGACTCAGTCAGTAAACGTCACACACTCTGATGCCCTTGATGCACAACCAGATGACACCGTAGTACCATCAGACACTGGAACAATTGATGATCTAAAACAGTTCCAAGAACTATTCAAGAGAGTAGTGACAAGCCAGAATGTCTCCCTGCAAGAGGTGCAGAAGAAACAATACCAATTGCTAAAGAATCTACATCCCACACTACATGGCAAGATTGCCCTGCCCATAGACGAGGCAATAATGGAGACCTCAGAAGACCCGTGGAAGACACCTGCATCCATTCAACCAACTAATAAGAAAATTGACAGAAAATACTTTGCCCCCTCAAAAGACAACAACTTTCTCTTCACTCACCCACAACCGAACTCCCTAGTCATGGACTCAGCACAACAACAAGCGAAGCTTCCGCAATATAGGACGGGCAATGCAGACAAGGACCACAAAAAGTTGGACTCCTTTGGCGAGAAAATATACTCCTCTTCCACTCTACAACTCAGAATATCAAATTACTCTGCTCTTTTAGCAAATCACGACTTTGACAACTACTCAAAACTGGGAGAACTAATGGCACACCTCCCCGACTCCAAAAGACCCATCTTGAAATCAATAGTTCATGAGGGCCATATGATCGCCTGCACCGCTCTCCAAATGGCAATGGATGTAGCTGACACTGCAGCCCGAGTTACAGCTACAGCGGTGGTGATGCGTAGAGCTTCTTGGCTCCAGTCATCTGGAGTTCCCTGCAAACTCCAGCCCAAAGTGGAAGACTTGCCATTTGACAAGCAAAAGTTATTTGCAGCCACTACGGACGAATTGCTCCACAACAGCAAAAATTCTAAGTCCACACTTTGCACGTTAGGCATGTACACGCAACATTATAAACGCAGGCGATTCATCCCATATAATTCATATAATCGACACCGATATGGGCAATACAATCAACCACAGAGGCCTTATGAAGACACCAGACCAAGACAGCGAGGTCCCCGAAGGTGACCCAACCAAGCCCACCCACTGGCTACTCAGCCATCTAAGCAGTAAATTTGAACATTTGGTCAAGGGCCTGCAAGACCTCCCTCACGATCTAGCACCACCTCAACATGGCCATCTATTCAACCACCGCTTGCGCGCTTTCCTCCCACAGTGGGAATCCATAACATTGGACCGCTGGGTCCTAGAGATAATTCGAGTGGGCTATACCATCCCCTTTATTTCTATCTTCCCTACCCTTCCCCCTTCCCCATCCCTTTTCAGGGACCACTCTCACGAAACCCTTCTAAAACAAGAAATCAATCGGCTCCTTGTCATCGGAGCTATAAGAAGGGTACCCTGAGAGTTCCACGGGAGAGGGTTTTACTCAAACTATTTCTTGACCGAGAAAAGAACAGGGGGTTGGAGACCTATATTGGATCTCTGCAAACTGAACAAATTTCTCAAGAAACAGCGTTTCAAGATGGTCACTCTCTCCGCAATCATTTCTGCGCTAGATCAAGGGGACTGGTTCGCAGCCCTCGACCTCCAAGATGCCTATTTCCATATAACCATCCACCCCTCCCACAGATGCTACCTACGCTTTGCGCTCGGTCCAGACCACTTCCAATACAACGTTCTTTCCTTCGGCCTCTCATCAGCTCCGAGGGTATTCTCGAAGGTACTAGCGGTTGTAGTTGCATACCTCAGGTGGCAGAATGTTATCATATTCCCCTACCTGGAAGATTGCCTTCTAAAGGGATCCTCATACACCGAAACCTCCTCTATGATACATACGACTGCGGCCCTCCTCAATCGTCTAGGCCTCCTGATCAACAAAGACAAATCAACGCTGCACCCTATCCAAGATATAGAGTTCATTGGCGCACGACTGGACTCCGTTACAGCCCGAGCATACCTACCTCGGCAACGTTTCGCAACTATACAGGAAATTATAACCGGGATGCTCACAATGCCTACTACCACAGTACTTACATGCCTCCGACTAATGGGACACATGGCTTCCACCACCTACGTAGTCCACCATGCTCGCCTACACTTTCGATGCTTCCAGCTCTGGGTGGCGACCGTTTACATCCCAGCACGACATCCTTGAAGCAAAAGGATTACTATCCCACCAAACGTGCTTGCATGCCTACGATGGTGGACCGTGCCAATTTTCTGGCGGGGGTCCCATTGCAACAAACCGAACCCACTATCCAGATTACCACGGATGCTTCCCTCCTCAGCTGGGGTGCACATATGGACAGCCGCGAAGTTCAGGGTGGGTGGTCCCCAAACGAGACACTCCTGCACATCAACCTTCTCGAATTAAGAGCAGTAAGGAACGCTTGCGCACACTTTGCTTCCGACATCGCCAGTCATACAGTTTGCATCCTAATGGACAATATTTGCACGATGTTCTACATAAACAGACAGGGCGGAGCCTGCTCCCTATGCGTGGAGGCTATTAGCCTCTGGAACTCGTGTATCTGCAACCAGGTCACCCTCATAGCATCCTACCTGCCAGGGGTGAACAATACCAGAGCGGACTCCCTCAGTCGAAACTTCACCTTAGACCGTGAATGGGAATTACATACGGAGGTCACAAACTCAGTTTTCCACCAGTGGGGACGGCCATCTATAGACTTCTTTGCTTTGGCCCAGAATACCAAGTGTCCCCAATTCTGCTCACGTGCGGGACTTGGCAAGCACTCTCTGGGGGATGCCTTCCTAATCAAATGGGCAGCCCCCCTACATTACGCCTTCCCCCCATACCGCTCATCCCAAGAGCCCTACGTAAAATCCTGAGACACAAAGCCCTAGTCATCCTGATTGCCCCATCATGGTCTCACCAAACCTGGTACCCATACCTTCACAAGGTAGCATTCCAGCCTCCCCATCCACTACCATACCAGATAGACCTACTATCTCAGGACAATGGCAGAATACTACATCTCCAACTCCGTACCCTGCATCTTCAGGCGTGGCTTCTTTCTGGTTCTCAGAGATAGAAGACCACTGCTTGCAGCAAGTAAAAGACATCCTCCTCCATAGCAGGAGGCAATCCACTCGAAAAACCTACCGGCAGAAATGGGTACGATCCTCTCACTGGTGTCAATGAGCCAAAGTGGAACCCCATGTCTCTCCACTGAATACCATCCTAGACTACATTATGGACCTTAAAGCATCAGGACTGTCAATTTCCTCTCTAAGAGTACATCTCTCTGCAATAGCATAAAAACCTACCAGTAGAAATGGGTACGATTCTCTCACTGGTGTCAACGAGCCAAAGTGGAACCCCGTGTCTCTCCTCTGAACACCATCCTAGATTACATTATGGACCTTAAAGCATCAGGACTGTCAATCTCCTCTCTAAGAGTACATCTCTCTGCAATAGCAGCATTTCATACCTTGGTGGACGGCTTTTCCATTTTTAACCATCCTATCACGAAAAGGTTCTTCAAGGGACTCCAAAATGTTTACCCACCATATAAGGCCCCACCCCCCTTGTGGAACCTAAATCTCGTTTTGGGCTACCTCACCAGACCTCCTTTTGAACCATTGGTAACAATACCACTGCCCTTCCTTTTTATGAAAGTCTGCTTCCTCTTAGCCATCACCTGTCAGAAGGGTGAGTGAACATGCAACACTGTCGGAACCCCCTTACACAGTTTTCACAAAGGATAGGATCATACCTATACCCCACCCGACGTTCCTGCCTAAGGTCTGTACGGAATTCCAAGTCAACGAACTGATCGTATTACCTACCTTTTTCCCGAAACCACACTCTTCGCAGAGAGATGTCACCCTGCATACTCTGGACTTCTTCCTAGAAAGAACAAAACCATTTCGTAAATCTGAAAGACTTTTTATTTCCATCGCTGAACGATCCAAGGGGACACCAATATCATCGCAACGAATCTCAAAGTGGATATCGACATGTATAATCAAGTGCCACTCTCTAGGCAATAGACAGTTACAGCGCCCACCACGAGCACATTCCACCCGAGCCACGGCTGCCTCTACAGCCTTTCTGGGCTACGTCCCCTTAAGAGACATTTACTGGGCAGCAACATGGGCTTCAGACCATACTTTTGCTAAACAGTACACTATTCTTCCACAACTCAAGAATGATTCAGCAGTTGCCACAGCAGTGCTCTCTACCACTGTGAAACACTGACTCCGGCTCCCTCCAGCCTTACATTGAAGACTGCTTTGTAGTCACCTAGAGTGGAGCACCCACGGGGACACACATCTCGAAGAACACTCGTTACGGCACGAGGTGAGTAACTCCCTTTTCACGTTTTTTGAATGTATCCCTTTGGTATGCCAATTGGTCATGCCAAATGTTGGAAAAGCCTCTTCCAAAAAAAAGCAGAAAAAGATCACAGTGTAGACACAGCCTAAAAGATGAATAATTCATGATTGGTGTGGAGAAAGGGAATAAGGAAAAGTTATTTACTTGCTCCCAGAACACAAGAACTAGGGGTCACCAAATGGAATTAATAAGTAGCAGGTTTAAAACAAACGGAAGGAAGTTTTTCTTCACACAACACCCAGTCAACCTGTGGAACTCCTTGCCAGAGGAGGCTGTGAAGCCAGGACTCGAACAGAGTTTAAAAAAAGAGCTAGATAGATTCATGGAGGTTGGGTCCATCAGTGGCTATGAGCCAGGATGGGTAGGAACGGTGTCCCTGGCCTCTGTTTGTGAACTGCTTTGGAATGGGTGACAGGGAAGGAATCTCATGATGATTTCCTGTTCTGTGCCCTCCCTCTGGGGCATCTGGCATTGGCCATTGTCAGAAGACCGGACACTGGGCTGGATGGACCTTTGGTCTGAGCCAGTGTGGCCATTTGGAGGGTCTGGGGGTAGTATGGCCAGTGGTAGGGATGGCTGAGTATCTCCTGCTCCTTGGGGTTTTGGGTTGCTAAGAGCCCCCTGCTCTGCCTGCAGGCAGCCCTGAGGGAGACCCAGGAGATCTGCAAGCAGCACACATGGGTGGCAGAGATCCACAGCTTTGCTCACAGCTGGAGCCCCAAGCAGCTGGAGCTGATGAAGGGCTGGCCTGCGGGCGACTACGTGCAGCTAGTGGTGCAGCTGCGAGCCTGGGCAAAACGGATCCGAGAGGTGCCCTCCACTGTCATCACCTGCAACCGGCTCTTCCTGGTGGACTGCAGCAGCGTGCAGCAGGAGACTGGTTTGTGGGCATTGCGGGGGGGGGGGGGGGGGGGGGGGGGGGCCCAGCCTGCACATTTCCTGGGCCTTGGCACGCAGCTGCAAGATCCCCAGGTACCAGTCCCTGTCCCCTCTCCCTACCCAGACCCCCACAAGTACCCTGCCCCAGCATCCACCAGCACTCTGTCCCCTGCCCCAGTCCTTTGCCCTGACACTCAGTCCCCAACAGCACAGTTGGGGCCACATTAGTGAAGCCTGAGGGGTTTGGAGGTGTTGTGTTTTTGTATCTCACTTGTGTAGCCCCTTGACTCAGACAGGTTTCCTGCCCCCTCAAAGACAAGGCTGAAATCTTGTGTTTGACATAGTATTTTATTTAAAAATGGAACCTGGCAAACAAGTCCCCCAACTGGGGCCAAGCCCTCATCTGGCCACAGCATTATACCATTCCTGTACCCCCCTCCCACCCCAACCCCACATCTGCGCCTA